TGTCAGTACTGAGTTGGTCACTTTTAATGGACCATTCATTAATCGATGGTAGCGAAATTATTGATCTTATATTAGAAGGCATGGGTAATATTAAAATTAATTATTAAAATATTCAATCTAATGTTGCAGAATTAGCCTTAAGTATTCGGCAAAATATAATCAAAGAAATAAATGGTAAGTTATTACCTATTATTGGTTTTAATCTTCAGTATAAAAATGCAAAAATTGTTCTGATAACACTAGCAATGAAAGGAATTTTTGAACGGCTTACTACAGGAAATTTAAAACTCTTTTTAATAAAAGTATTAAATGATTATGAAATCAAAACATCACAAATATACACTATAACAACTGACAATGGGACAAATCTTATTAAGATGGTTTATGGAGGATATTGATGATGACCTTCAAATGTCTGAAAATGTTGAAGAAAAACAAATACAAATTGTCTGATATCGTACTAGCAGTGCCGGCTACCCATTTTAGTGTGGAAAGATATTTTTCACCAATTAAATTTATACTATCTCCTTAGATATAATTTGAGTGAGACGAATGTTGAAAATATATTCATTGTGATGCTTAATAAAAAAATTTTTAAGTAGATAGAGTTAAATTTTGTTATATTAAAATAAATCATTGATATTTATTTGTTACATTTATAAATTATAATATTATTTTATAATGTGTATAGATCCAAGATTTCAAAAATTGACAATTGTGTCAAAGTATATAGAAGAGCAAAATTGCACAACTTCAGAATTTATAATAAAACATCTTAAACTTATAGAGAATGATGATAATGAAAAATGAAGGTTTAATATATGTATTTTTAATTTGATAAAAAAAATAATCTTCCCTATACATATTTCGATTTTAGGTTTGAAATACAAAAGTGTTTTAACCGGTTTTTAGAGGTTCGAACCGAACCTATATTTTTATTTTTTACGAACCGAACCTGAACCTTGAACCGTTATTTTTATCCGAACCTGAACCTGAACCGATATTTGCTTCGGTTTGGATCCCTGATTATCACTATAGTGAGCTGGTCTAGGTCTTGGGGGGTTATAAAATTTTATCAGCACAAGATTTAATATAGTTTGGAAATCAAGATCCCAGAATAATAATGCAAGCTGATAGACCGCCTTTCAAGATTCTGCTAACAGTTTATGGACAAAATATATAATAATCGGACATTTATTCCTAAAATCCTAAGAATATAAACTTCAAAGATGGAAAATGGAAATTTTAATAAATTATTGTTATATTGTAGGAATTAATAAATTAAAATATTATATAATTTTCTAAAATAAAATTAAATTGAGCTACGCAGGTAAAAATAAGATTTTCGAGGTAGTAAAACTTTATACAACATATTTTTATCGGACCTGAAAATTAACATATATATCATATATATACATAACATTTTCTTAATTAACACTAATCATACAATATTCATTCTTGAACGACTTGTCGTTATCTGAAAATCACTGTAATTCAGATTTTTCAGAAGATTCGTCAAATTTTTGGCAATTCTCTTTGATAAGACACTATTAATTTCACGGAGTTATAAATCTCGTTTTAACCAGTTTAATCAGTATCTACCCATGTTTTCCTTAAAAAGGCCCGCACAGTTTGAAGATTGCCCATGTTTATTCCACAATAGCTTACACTTAGAACAATTTAGTATTCTTTTACATGGGCTGAGCAATTTCTGATAAAATTATTTTAATGGCAGCAGAAATGGATAGCGAAAAAGGTGAAAAGACATAAAAATTTCATCTAAATTAATTGTAAGAATTGTATAGGTCATTAAAGACCATATTAAAAAAATTATTTTTTGTAATTTTTTTTCTATTACTGGTTTCAATGATATATATAACGTAGATTGGGGATTCATTCATTAAATGCATGATAAAAATGTCCTCACATTGCAATCAGCTGTAGCGCAATTTCGTAGTTTGGATATCAATGACATATAATAATACCTAGACTGACGATTCATTCATTAAAATGCATTTTTAAGCGTCGTTAAAAGCAAATCAGCTGGACCCGCCATTTTGGTAACCTTTATAATAATTATTTTCATGTTAAAAACTAATATTAAATATTATATGTCATTGTTGGATATCCATTATTTGTCAGCATGAAATATTAATACATATATAATATTGCCGAAACTAGTCTATGAAGATAATTTATTTTGAAAAGTTTCCATTTATGATATATTATTTTTCTTATATTCTTAAATATTATGGTAAGATTATAATTTGTTTTAATTATTTCTTGGTCTAGTGAATTTTTATGAACGTAGATTAGCTGATTATACCTAAAAAAAATGATTCTAAGACTAACCCTCCTTTTAATTTTTTAAAATATAGTTTAACATAATTCAGTATGGACTTATAAATCATATGTTAATGCATTTTAGGATACATACAAAACATGTCTTTTAATATCACACTATCATTTATTATTTTATTTAGATAATGGGGGAGTGTGTTGTGTTCAGAATTGTAATAGTAAACGATTTCCATATATCTTATCACAAGTTTATTTTTTTATATTTATTATTTTTAATTAACATATAATTATATCAAAAATATAAATTTTTACATTATTAAACATTAAAAGAATAATTATTATGTAAAATTTATATTATCTAATATAAACATAGCATCAAATATATAAATTTTTACATTATTAAACATTAAAAGATAATTATTATGTAAAATTTATATTATCTAATATAAACATAGCATCAAATATATAAATTTTTACATTATTAAACATTAAAAGAATAATTATTATGTAAAATTTATATTATCTAATATAAACATAGCATCAAATATATAAATTTTTACATTATTAAACATTAAAAGAATAATTATTATGTAAAATTTATATTATCTAATATAAACATAGCATCAAATATATAAATTTTTACATTATTAAACATTAAAAGAATAATTATTATGTAAAATTTATATTATCTAATATAAACATAGCATCAAATATATAAATTTTTACATTATTAAACATTAAAAGAATAATTATTATGTAAAATTTTTATTATCTAATATAAACATAGCATCAAATATATAAATTTTTACATTATTAAACATTAAAAGAATAATTATTATGTAAAATTTTTATTATCTAATATAAACATAGCATCAAATATATAAATTTTTACATTATTAAACATTAAAAGATAATTATTATGTAAAATTTATATTATCTAATATAAACATAGCATCAAATATATAAATTTTTACATTATTAAACATTAAAAGAATAATTATTATGTAAAATTTATATTATCTAATATAAACATAGCATCAAATATATAAATTTTTACATTATTAAACATTAAAAGAATAATTATTATGTAAAATTTTTATTATCTAATATAAACATAGCATCAAATATATAAATTTTTACATTATTAAACATTAATAATTATTATGTAAAATTTTTATTATCTAATATAAACATAGCATCAAATATATAAATTTTTACATTATTAAACATTAAAAGAATAATTATTATGTAAAATTTATATTATCTAATATAAACATAGCATCAAATATATAAATTTTTACATTATTAAACATTAAAAGAATAATTATTATGTAAAATTTATATTATCTAATATAAACATAGCATCAAATATATAAATTTTTACATTATTAAACATTAAAAGATAATTATTATGTAAAATTTATATTATCTAATATAAACATAGCATCAAATATATAAATTTTTACATTATTAAACATTAAAAGAATAATTATTATGTAAAATTTATATTATCTAATATAAACATAGCATCAAATATATAAATTTTTACATTATTAAACATTAAAAGAATAATTATTATGTAAAATTTTTATTATCTAATATAAACATAGCATCAAATATATAAATTTTTACATTATTAAACATTAAAAGATAATTATTATGTAAAATTTATATTATCTAATATAAACATAGCATCAAATATATAAATTTTTACATTATTAAACATTAAAAGAATAATTATTATGTAAAATGTTTATTATCTAATATAAACATAGCATCAAATATATAAATTTTTACATTATTAAACATTAAAAGAATAATTATTATGTAAAATTTATATTATCTAATATAAACATAGCATCAAATATTAACCCTTCCTTTTTTAATATAAAAATGGTTGCAAGTTATAAATAGGAAAAAATTTATACCTAATAAATATAGTATTATTTGTGGAAGGCATTTTACTTCTAATTGTTTTATACAAGATGAATAAATGCTTGAATTATTTATAATGTTTAATTTAAAATATGTTATTATTTTTAAATAAATACAATTATTTTTCAAATATAAATTTTGAGCAAAATAATATCTTAAATCACCAATTAATTTATTTATAATATTGGCAGTTGGTTATAATAGTGTTAGAAATAATTATATTAAAAATATAAAAAACAATATAAATCCCTCCTAATGATGGCGTCTTTTAAAAATCGACTTTTTAAAAAAATAATTAACATAATGTTAATAAAAGATATAAAAAAGATATCTCATGAGGAATAATTCATAAAAATCGTAATAATTTTTTTTATTGTCTCATTTTTATAAAAAATTTAAATTTTATAAAATATTATTAGATTTGTAAATTAGAAATTACAATTATTTAATATAACATATTTAATTTATCACTACAGCAAGCATCTGCTCATTCTAATAGATGCTATAATTTCCACATTACTACATTCCCCCTTTATAAATTGAAAGCAAATTTATATCATTTAGACTTGAACAAACAATTTTTACTAAAAAATCATTTAATAATCATATTTTATCATTTTCACTTTTAATATTTGTATTTGTTGATATGACCGATTAATACTAACCTTTAAATTGTTTTTTTTATGTTTTTGATTTTTTTTAAAATATAAATAGTGTAGATTGATTTTTAAAATTGTTATATAAGCCTGATTTTTTAGTTTGATATAAAAAATGTAAAAATTTTAAAATATATTATATAAAATTAAATTAATAATTTGAAATAAAATAAATAATATTTTAGAAAACTTTATGGTGGCAGCTCCGCTACATATTCGAGGATATCGTAAATAAATAAATAAATATGAAACAGATTCCCAATAATATTAAAATAAATATTGAATTTCCAATATACTCAGGCAATGGCGATCTTTTTTTGAGAAGATTCGAAGACATCTTCAAGGACACTCAGATCTCGGACATCGAAAAAGCAGGTTCCTTTACAAGAAGACTACCAAATGAGGTATATATCAAGTTTAAATCGATATGTTCACCTACCGACTTCATCAATCCATCGATATTGATTGAAAAATTCAGGTTATTACACCCGAGGAAATCTACAAGTTCCAACTTATTATTATTTAACGCAGCTGTACAAGGTAAAAACGAAAGTTACATCAATTGGGTAAGTAGATTATGCATTTAAAAAAATGAATGTTTGCTAAGTGATAGTAGAGTTATTTAAAAATTTCATCAATCCGCAAAAATATTAGGCAGAAAATTACGTTAAAAGAAAATATTACATTAGCAGAAGTTCTTACTTTAAGAGATGATTTTGAAGAATTAGAATTAGAAGAAAATATAATTGCTAAAGTTGAAAATATTTCTTTAAACGAAAAAACAGAAGATGATACAACCGTGAAACATGTAGAAAGGCAAAGAGGCAGGAAAACAGAAGAATAAACAATTGGTGAGATATGGAGACCATGATGAACGACAAAATTTACAATCTAATTACGATAACATACAACGATGGACAATAAGAGGCCATGACTTTCAAAGAAATATTTATCAAGAAAATAGTTAAAACCCTCAACAAAAGTTTATTCCTGATAAAATACGCTTTTTGGGACATGATAACAAACATGGTATACATCCCAACGTTGATAAGATAAAAGCTATTTCTAACATGCCGGAACCGAAGACAAAAGATGAATTGACAACATTTTTGGGGATGGCGAGCTATTATCGAAAGTTTTAAGTAATTTTGCGGACGTAGCTGATTCTTTATACAAAATGGTTAATAAAGACAAATTGTTATGGGATAATACACATCAAGAAAGCTTCGACGACCTAAAAAATATGATAAATACTCCGCCTCCGGATCTACCAATAGGCATTGCAACTGATGTTTCAAAGAAAGGTCTAGCAGTCTTATTTCATATTGATGGTGATAGTAAAGAGAAACCCATTGCTTTTGCGTCAAGAGCTTTACTGAAATCAGAGTTTAATTACACTAATATAGAGAGGGAAGTTTTATCTGTTATATACGCGGTAAAAAAGTTTCAAGAATATTTAATTGGGAATTTAAAAAAAATTAAATTATTATTTTAGAGTAATAAAATATAACAAAATATGAGTTAATAAACAAGTCATGTAATCTATTTATAAATCTTATTTCGTAGTATCATCAATTAACTTATATAAATCTTTCAAAAAATTGAAAAAAAATTATTGCACCTTTCATCTTTTTAAAGTAAGGTGCCAGAAGTAAATTATAGTTTGGTAATAACTTTATTTTTATCCAATTCCAAAAATGTCTAAAGATTTTAATAGAAAAATATTATTTCATCCGCTGGGATATTTTTGAAAGGATAGCTTTATCAACGCCAAAAAAAATTATACTTTTATTAATATTTAGCTATTTTTTACAGTCAGACTAAATTGAATTTAACATATTTCAATGTCATAATTAGTAATAAAATAAATAATATAAATGTCGTAAATTAATATACCTGTGTTCTTCGGTCTGCATTTTTTAGCTCTGATTATTTAAAGCCCTGCCCTAAATTTTCAAATTTCGTTATTTTGAATATTTTCTCTGTATTTTATAAATTGTTTTATACGGAATTTAAGATATGTAAATAATATTTAAGCATAATTAAAATGTTTTTCACTATAATATTAAACGGCATAGTTGAAATCGTTTTAAACCGTATCATGAATAATAAATCAATTTGCACAGTGAGATTTAGAAATAATTATATAGACAGAATATGAAATTAAAAAATCTTCTTTTCCCATTTCAGAAAGTCTCATAATCATTATGTTTAAAAATATTTATTGTAGGCATTCCCTTTCAGGCAGAATAATATGATTTGAAAATAACTTACAAAATATTAAATTTGAACTAAATTCACATGTCATCTCTATTGAAACCACCAAAATACATAATTAAATATATTTTTTATCATTTTAAGATTTATATTTGAAACAGGAGTTGGCATTTATTATTTTTAAATTTAACAATGTTTAAATTTAAAAAAGATAAGATTTTATGTTTTAAAGCTATAAAATTAATAATTTTGACGATTACAAAAGATTTAATAAGATAGAGGTCTCAATCCAATGTTCCCCTTCATCTAATCTTATTTAAAAGTTTTTAAAAATTATCAACATATTGTTTTAGCGCTGGAAAGGGTTAAACATATCAGTAACTAGGGGTTAGTAGAATTAGGTCGAATTAATTATATTATGCTTAATGCTTGAATTATTTATAATGTTTAATTTAAAATATTTAAAATATCTTATTATTTTTTAAATTAATACAATTATTTTTCAAATATAAATTTTGAGCAAAATAATATCTTAAATCACCATTCAATTTATTTATAATATTGGCAGTGGGTTATAATAATGTTAGAAATAATTATTTTATAAATATTATATTAAAAATATAAAAAACAATATAAATCCCTCCTAATGATGGCGTCTTTTAAAAATCGACTTTTTAAAAAATTAATTAACATAATGTTAATAAAAGATATAAAAAAGATATCTCATGAGGAATAATTCATAAAAATCGTAATAGTTTTTTTTATTGTCTTAAATTTTATAAAATATTAATAGATTTGTAAATTAGAAATTACAATTATTTAATATAACATATTTAATTTATCACTACAGCAAGCATCTGCTCATTCTAATAGATGCTATAATTTCCACATTACTACATTCCCCCTTTATAAATTGAAAGCAAATTTATATCATTTAGACTTGAACAAACAATTTTTACTAAAAAATCATTTAATAATCATAATTTTATCATTCTCACTTTTAATATTTGTATCTGTTGATATGACCGATTAATACTAACCTTTATATCAAGCTTAAATCGATATGTTCACCTACCGACTTCATCAATCCATCGATATTGATTGAAAAATTCAGGTTATTAAACCCGAGGAAATCTACAAGTTCCAACTTATTATTATTTAACGCAGCTGTACAAGGTAAAAACGAAAGTTACATCAATTGGGTAAGTAGATTATGCATTTTAAAAAATGAATGTTTGCTAAGTGATAGTAGAGTTATTTAAAAAGTAAAAATTTCATAAATCAGCAAAAATATTAGGCAGAAAATTACGTTAAAAGAAAATATTACATTAGCAGAAGTTCTTACTTTAAGAGATGATTTTGAAGAGTTAGAATTGGAAGAAAATATAATTGCTAAAGTTGAAAATATTTCATCAAACGAAAAAACAGAAGATGATACAACCGTGAAACATGTAGAAAGGCAAAGACGCAGGAAAACAGAAGAATAAACAATTAGTGAGATATGGAGACCATGATGAACGACATAATTTACAATCTAATTACGATAACAGACAACGATGGACAATAAGAGGCCATGACTTTCAAAGAAATATTTATCAAGGAAATAGTTAAAACCCCCAATTTCAACAAAAGTTTATTCCTGCAAAAAAAAATACGCTTTTTAAGACATGATATAGACAAACATGGTATACATCCCAACGATGATAAGATAAAAGCTCTTTCTAACATGCCGGAACCGAAGACAAAAGATGAATTGACAACATTTTTGGGGATGGCGAGCTATTATCGAAAATTTTTATGAAATTTTGCGGACGTAGCTGATTCTTTATACAAAATGGTTAATAAAGACAAATTGTTATGGGATGATACACATCAAGAAAGCTACGACGACCTAAAAAATATGATAAGTACTCCGCCCACGTTAAATAATCCGGATCTACCAATAGGCATTGCAACTGATGTTTCAAAGAAAGGTCTAACAGTCTTATTTCATATTGAAGGTGATGGTAAAGAGAAACCCATTGCTTTTGCCTCAAGAGCTTTATTGAAATCAGAGTTTAATTACACTAATATAGAGTGGGAAGTTTTATCTGTTATATACGCGGTAAAAAAGTTTCAAGAATATTTAATTGGGAATTTAAAAAAAATTAAATTATTATTTTAGAGTAATAAAATATAACAAAATATGAGTTAATAAACAAGTCATGTAATCTATTTATAAATCTTATTTCGTAGTATCATCAATTAACTTATATAAATCTTTAAAAAAATTGGAAAAAAATTATTGCACCTTTCATCTTTTTAAAGTAAGGTGCCAGAAGTAAATTATAGTTTGGTAATAACTTTATTTTTATCCAATTCCAAAAATGTCTAAAGATTTTAATAGAAAGATATTATTTCAGCCGCTGGGATATTTTTGAAAGGATAGCTTTATCAACGCCAAAAAAATTATACTTTTATTAATATTTAGCTATTTTTTACAGTCAGACTAAATTGAATTTAACATATTTCAATGTCATAATTAGTAATAAAATAAATAATATAAATGTCGTAAATTAATATACCTGTGTTCTTCGGTCTGCATTTTTTAGCTCTGATTATTTAAAGCCCTGCCCTAAATTTTCAAATTTCGTTATTTTGAATATTTTCTCTGTATTTTATAAATTGTTTTATACGGAATTTAAGATAAGTAAATAATATTTAAGCATAATTAAAATGTTTTTCACTATAATATTAAACGGCATAGTTGAAATCGTTTTAAACCGTATCATGAATAATAAATCAATTTGCACAGTGGGATTTAGAAATAATTATATAGACAGAATATGAAATTAAAAAATCTTCTTTTCCCATTTCAGAAAGTCTCATAATCATTATGTTTAAAAATATTTATTGTAGGCATTCCCTTTCAGGCAGAATAATATGATTTGAAAATAACTTACAAAATATTAAATTTGAACTAAATTCACATGTCATCTCTATTGAAACCACCAAAATACATAATTAAATATATTTTTTATCATTTTAAGATTTATATTTGAAACAGGAGTTGGCATTTATTATTTTTAAATTTAACAATGTTTAAATTTAAAAAAGATAAGATTTTATGTTTTAAAGCTATAAAATTAATAATTTTGACGATTACAAAAGATTTAATAAGATATAGGTCTCAATCCAATGTTCCCCTTCATCTAATCTTATTTAAAAGTTTTTAAAAATTATCAACATATTGTTTTAGCGCTGGAAAGGGTTAAACATATCAGTAACTAGGGGTTAGTAGAATTAGGTCGAATTAATTATATTATGCTTAAAAATATGATATAATAAGTATTCATTGGCTATTATAGCTTTAAATTCTATTTTTTTCCCTTTAACTTTCACCTTTTCTGGTAGTTGATAATCAAAAGAATTAGAAAAAAAATTCATTAAAACTTAAACATTTTTTAAAATAAAATATCACATTTTGAAATTTTTTATGAATTATTTATATACAAATGGTGTATTATTGATAATAACAATTATCCTATAGGAGACTTAATAAACCAATATAATTTACAAACCTGGGGTTTGGGTCTTGTTGGGGCAAAAATTAACTTTTACTAGAATCAATCTTAAAATATTTATTAATAGGGTCTTTTGTAAAAAACGACTTAATCTAATCGTTAAAAAAATTGAGTATACAAAATTCCACATATTTTTTAATAAAATACGAATTTCATAAATAACAAGTGACGTGTTTTAGAGGTAAATAATTTTAAAACGCTACTTTAAATAAATATAGACAATTAAGCTGGTTTTTTGGAACTTAATAAATGGGTTATTTGTCAAATATAAATCACTATTGCATTGTGATAATGTTAGTTGTAATGCATTCGCGATATTGCATTCGGTATGATGCATTAGCGATAATGCATTCGCTATAATGTATTCGCTCTAATACATTCGCGATAATACATTCGCTGTAATGCATTCGCTATAATGCATTCGCTATAATGCATTCGCTATAATGTTTTCGCGGTAATGCATTTGCGCTAATACATTCGCTATGATGCATTCGCGATAATGCATTCGCGATAATGCATTCGCGGTAATGTATTCGCTCTAATACATTCGCGATAATACATTCGCTGTAATGCAATCGCTATAATATTTTTGCGGTAATGCATTCGCTATAATGCATTCGCGCTAATATATTCGCTATGATACATTCGCTATAATTTCGCGGTAATGCATTCGCGGTAATGCATTCGCGGTAATGCATTCGCTATAATATCTTTTAGCGGTAATCGACATTCGCGATAATGCAT